CCTTGCGTCCTTGGTGCGCCTTTATGACGCACACACACATTGGAAGGAGAGCTTTGCTGCCCCTCCACAGGCGGCCACTTGGAAGAGTGCATTTCTCTGTCCTGGAGCTGTGAGTCTCCTGCCTCCTTCACCCCCAAACACTGCACAGTGTGTGGGCAGGGACCCCATGTTCTTGTCTTTGCATGCCTTAACACAATGCCAGAGTTATAACAGCTACTCCATAAGCAGGGAATAAATGATGATAAAAAAAACCACCCATTGCACTTCAATAGAAATAATTTAATGTGTGGTAATTGTAATTGGTTCTCACTCTTCATTTCATTTGACACTTAGAAAATTTCAAGTCTGGGCTAAATTTGAGCCATTACTTTAATAGTAGGAGGAGGAATTTTCTCTACATCAAAGCAGAAACCAAGCCCTCTAAGCCCCTCACAACGCAGGTCCTGGGCTCTGGGGAGTGGGAGGGACTACGGCCCAGTCCCTCTGCCCTGGCTGGGGAAGGGCCACCCACCCTGGAGCTTCTCAGGGTACCGTGGTTACTCACTGTTTATTCAGAAATGATGCTGAGTAACTCTTCTCTTTCTTGTGCAGATGTGTTATGGGTGTGATCTCAAGGTGGACCACACAGGAGGGGGCAGCCTGGTTAGAATGACTTGTGAGGAAGACCAGAAGGGATGCCCTAGTTGGCGAAGGAAACCCTTGGGGCATGCATGCCTGAGAGAGGCTAGACAGAGGGCAACAGAAAGCAGTGGGAAGTCAACTCCTCTGGCCAAGATGCAGAGTGAGCCCTGGCTGGCCTCATGGCCCTCTGGTGGCACCATCTACTGTGATTCACTGCAGTCATGACTGATGCAGACAGGAGGAGGAAGTGGGGCTCCAAGAATGCCAGCTGAACTCTGGGTCAGGGGCCTCTGAAAGGGACCCTGCAGCCTGGAGAAGTATCAGGGCCAAGCCTCCCTACCTGCACCAGCCTTGCAACTCTGTCACCTCACACAAGACCAGGTATCTGATTATAATCCACATTGCTAATGAACCCATGCAGCGAGGCTTCCTATGTTGTATTTGATAAGTCCCAGGAGCTCTAGGTGTGTGTGCGCGGGGTGTGATACATCGGCAAGCTGTTACTGTGAAGTAAATTATTACAGAAATTTATGTAAGAACAGCCTACAAAGGTACTCTGTACAGACCATGATTCTAGAGGTCTCAGGCTGTTTGCACGCCTCTGGACAACCTCTAATTTATCACTGTCTGACTCAGATTTCAGTACCCAGGACAGAGCCTGCCTGTTCCCATGGCACCCCTGATGGCAGCACAATGCAGGATTTGGTTTCCTTGGGTGGGTCACTGTCTGCCTATTTCTGGACAGGGCTGTTAGTCTCCACTTGGTCAGGCTTTCAGCTCAATTTCAGTTAATGGAAGGGGTAACAGAGTGCTGGTTGCTGATGGTCAAGCTGTCAGGAATTCCTCCCAATGTGGGGTTTTGGGCTGCACCACTGGGGACAGGGCTTCCAGTGGTCTAAATAGGAAAGCACCCATTTCCAAGATGCAAACAGAGACTAACATGTCGAAGGGCAGTGAGAAGTAATCAATAGCCTTTGGAAGTTTGAAAGTCCACAGCTGGTTAATGGGAGTGTGCAGGGGACTAATTTTAGACCTCACTGTGCCTCTCAGTCAGTGCTTCTGTTTGCCTCCTCTCTTTTGCAGCCTTGTCTTCTCTCTTCTCCTTGTGATTTTGTCCCTTTCCTCCTCAATAGCTCCTTTTTTGGGTCTTTTTCATCATATATATATTTCCCTATGTATTTGCTCGTGTAATTTTGCTGTCTCTCTCTTTCTTCTTCCTTTCTGTTTTTTGTCCTTTCTCTTTTTTCCTTCCGTATCATGCTCCCTCCTCATTTTGACAATATGACATAAAAATATTTTGAGGTATTACCTTGTATTCATTACATAAGCTGCTTTTAATTAAACATTGAAAAGCCTGCTAATATGTTTTTGTCTCTTGTTTACTCTTTTAAAAAATGACTAAAGTTGATTAATGGCACATGATGGAAAGAAACACTCCCCATTCCTGCTCTAGAGGTCAAAGAGGACACCCCATCCCCATTGTGGTACTGGCACAGCCATCAATAACAGGTGGACCCCTATGGTGATAGGAGACGAATCTGTCTCCAGTTCGCATTAAGCATAGAGATCTAGGAACCAGATGATTTTTGCTTGGCAGGGTAAGAAGCAAAGTATTTACTGTCTCTGGAAAACCATCCAGTGCCCTGTGTCCTGGGCATTCACGGCTCTGTTTATATCTCTTTCCTCCTGTGACCATGGATTTGATGTTTCCATCAAATTTACTGCATAGTAATTATTTATTAATCCATTGCTTAGCCTACTCATGGAATCTCCCTACATATTTATGCATTTATTTCCTTGTAGATTTCCTATGTAGAATAAATGTATTGCTGTATATAACATTATTCATGAGTTTAACTTTGATGAAATATTTATTAGTATTGACCGCATGACTAACTTTCATAGCGAGCACCTAGAAGAGGTATAGCTTGTCTTATATATTTTATAATGTATTTTATTTTTGTAAGGATCAGTGAATTGGAATATTGGGTGTGATTCCAAGGTCTGGTCTCAAATTTTAAATTTCCTTGTGCATTGAACATATCTAGGTGATCTTTTTCATAAAGACAAAGCAAATTAAAAGAATTACTGTGCCCTTTCATCTACCCAATGGTTTGGAATTCAACTTTGACAGAATGCTTTTAAGCCAATGGATTCATAGATCAAAGTCATTACAATTACCGCAGAGACAAACCTGAAACTTAAAACCAACAAACCAGTAGTTCAAGTGAGGGGCTCTTCTAGAAATGCATTTGAGTCCAATAGAGATAGAATAATGAAGATACCTTTATTGGAAGTATTTGATAGGATAGATATGGGCAAACAGGGGCAAGTCTAGGGAGCAGCCATTTAGCTTCGGGGACAGCCGTCTGGCTCCAACTAAAGTTTGCACAATATCTGATAACAAGCTTAATCACATCCTCCTCCACCCCAATGGACAGAGGAAGCTGACCACAATGGAAGATTCCCCGACAGGCCGAAGCAGGTTACATCCTGTTTAGAAAAGTATAAAACCCTAGCTAAACAGAATCTCAGCAGAGCTGTCTACTCTAGACTCTGCCCCTGGCAACTCCTCTGCCAGTGCTTCTCTTCTTAAATAAGCTTTCTGACGTCTACTCCTTCACGCCTTGTGAATTCTTTCACAACCCGTGAGCGACCATGACAGTATTGACCAGTAGATCGCTTATGGTATTCTTAATGTTTTACAATTCAGTTAGGTGAGTTGAAAAAAGTAACACTCACTGGACTAGAATATCAATTTTTAACAAGGGCCTCATCTTAAAAACTTTTAGCATCATAACTAATGTGCAACACTACCTAGTTTAATTTGCATGTGCACTAAAGACTCCATTTGTTGACAGTGATGCTAGGTTCCAAGCTATTGCTTTTTCTAGCATTCAGAGAAACTGTGGGTCTTCTGTGCTGGTGACTCTGAACTTAAGAGATTAGAACTATACCTGCTAATATGCCATAGATTGTGAATTAGTTGGTGTTGTCCTCTCACCTAAATCATTACAAGCTATTTACACCTCAAGCACTCCACAGCCCCACTCCATATTTTGACAACACAGCCTCATTAGTTCTGTGACGATACTGGTAACCTTACTACGTATTTCATTTAGGTCTGAGGAGAGAACATCCCGTGACTTTCAGATCCTTTTCCTTACAGAGAACCTGTCTGGGGTTTCTCAAACCAAGTGGCAAGTCCTTTGAACACTTTTCGGTCTGCAAGACTAGAGGCAGGAAGAAGCGCGGGGCAGACAGAGGGCAGGGATGGTACAGAAATGAGGGAGGAAGAGAGGTGGTGAGTATGGCAGGGCAGTTGTTCCTACTCTCTGTGAGTCGTTGTTGACGTGGTGAAATTAGCATGCATTCAAGGCAAATAAAATTAGGCAGGGGTTTTGGGTCAGGAATTAAAGAAATGCAATGTAAAGAACTTCTTAACATTATCTTTTCTTGGGCTGGAATGCGGACCTTTGGGGATAAGCGTTCATCGACTATGCTACAAAAGAACACTTGTATTTCAACCGTTTCATGATCTGCGAAATAGTAGAAGGAGGAAGCAGGGGCCCAGTTAAGCGTGGGCAAGATTAATGGTGAATTTAGTTAGGTGTGCATGGCCTAATGATAATGGAGAAGTGTTTGTAAGCATCCCTTGTAACTTCAGACATGAATTCTATCACCAGGAACAAGGTATATTTTCAAAGGGAAAAAAACCCTGCCTTGTCTGTTTATTTCAGATCCACTTGGTCTTTAATATTTAAACGTCAACAAAAAAATTGCATTTCTCATTTTTCTGGAGGATTTATTTTAATTAATTCTTCTTCTTAAAAATGTATATTCTGTTTATGTAGCTTAAGAGCTTAGAACATTATACCACTGATCTATTCCAAACCTAAATAATTACAAGCTATTTATATCTCAAGCACTCCATTTTTTTAATAGCTCTGTCTGAAGTTTCTGAATGACACCTGAAAGGTTTAACAATCAAACCATTCTTTCTTCTCTTTAGATTATCCAGCCTATGCAATATCTGCACATAAACCTTCAGCTGACTTGGACGAAAGCTCCTAAAAGTCAAGTTGAAATAATTGTGGGCCTTGATCCCCAATGCAGTGCTACAAAAAAAATCCATTTTGATTTTCAGCTCCATACATTCAGTAACAATTTCAGCACAGAATTTGACCACATGCAAGATGGATCTTGAACAACGCGTAATGTAACATCAACACAGTGTGATATGTGTCAAATAGACCTTGACTATCGCAAGAGTGAAAGAGAAAGACAAATCAGATAATCACAACGGGATGTGGTTTTTGCAAGATGGTGTGGCTTTCCATTCCAAACCAGAAATAAAAAATAAATTTCAAGTTACTCACTCATGGATTCTGTCAGCTTGGCCATTGTTGCAGTTTCTTCTTTGTGCTTTTCCTGGGGGTGAGAAGAAAAGACGATTTACGCCTAAGGCACATCTTAGCTATGAATTAACACAGTGGGTCTCTTACAGCTCTATCTATCTCCCTTCTTTTTCCTATGTAAAAATATGATCACCGATGATGAAATGAATTGTAAATTCTCACATTATAGCTCTACTATCAGTTAGTCACCAGAAAGAGATTTTTCAAGACATTAAAAAAGTTGCCACTGCTCTTGGAAATAAGCATCTGTCATAGTGATCTTGGATATATATAATTGGTGACGCACAGCCAGTTTCTAGAACCTTTTTGACACTGGAGTTCTGACATCCACATGCCAATCCTTTGCTCTCTATTTTCTCTTGTTGAAGCTTTTCTGGTATTTTTGGAGTTGGTATTTTTGTAGTCATTTGGTTTCTTTTTTTTCTTCCTGAAAGTTAAATAGGTTTTATACATTTTCCTTTGTCTTACTTTTCTGAGGTCCTGGGAGCTTTTCAAAGTCATCACTTTTGATGGATTTATAACCTTCTTTATTTGGGGATGAAAACATTTTGTTTCAATTGGAATATGGGTTATAACCCACTGAGTTTGAGAGTCAGAACAATACATACAGAGATTAAATCTGTCCTAATTAAAATATTACTTTGGGGGTATTAACAATAGTGGTCATCTCTACTGAAAAGTTCTCTTCAAATTCTTCATGTTCCTTTTATTTCCTGACATGTACAGCAATTGAACTATTGGCCATTATTATTATTTTTTTTGAAGCCTTATTTTTTTTCTTACTATGGAGCTAATACATGCTCATTATTTAAAAACTCAGAAAATATTGAAAAATTATAAATCAGAAAATATAGTGCTCTCATAATTACATTTAAACACCTATTTCCATTTCTATACCTATGAATATATACAAATATGGAAATATGGTCCCATTTCTAGAAATACACATATCTGTATGCTACATACAATGTTGTAAGTTGGTCTTTCACTTAATACCTATCATCCATCTTTCTATGTCAATAAGGTTAAAATACATCATCATTTTTTAATGATTGCATAGCATTTATCATGGGTTATACCATAATTTCCTTAACCAGATCCATTAAGTTTGCTTACAATTTTTCATTATTTTATAAAATGCTGCGATGAGCATTCTTGAACTCACTTCTTTGTGCACTCATCCTTTTAATTAGAGAGGATAATTAGGGTTAGGTATGGCAAGGCCAAACAAAATGACTATTAAGAATTTTGATGATTGTCCCCCCTAAAGGTTGGATCTGATAGTGTATAACAGTGTTTGTTTTCTTACATTCTTGTGAATTTGCCAATAACGTTAGCACATTCCCCTCCTCAATCTTTGCTGAACGGATAGACAAAAAGTGGCATCTTGTTTTTTATACTGCCATTTTCCTTTCTCTGACCTTTTCTTTATGGACAATCAGAGTATCCCTTCACGTGTAATCAGTACACCATTGACGCTTACTTCCCTATTGCAGGGCTCTGTCTCTCCTGCCACCAACAATTTCAGTCCTTAGAAGCCAAGGGTGGCGCTTACTTTTCGCCACGGCCATTGTACAGTGCCAAGCGCATCCCAGCTGCTTGGCTAGGACTTGAGTTGATGCGCTACGGCTCGGCTGCTGAAGTGCAGTCGATAAAATCATGACTCATCCTTCTAGTGCCACTAGGAGTCTACTTTGCGTGTCAACAAACAGCATTGTGCATCACAAGTAGATGCTTGATTTTCACAAGCTCTGTATACATAGCAATGAAACCAGGGCACCGCCTCTTACTTAAACGAATCATTGCCGTTGAGAACAGAAGAGCTCAGGGAGCATATTCTGCCATCCGACCCGAGGTGGCACTTAACCCATGATGTTTAGCCTGCCACTTGGTTTATATCGAGATGCAGAGAAATAGCCTGGCTATGGGAGAGGCTAAGAGTGTCGTGTAGTACAGAAAAATAAGAGGCAGAGAGAAACCCATCACCTCAGCACTGGTCCACGGCAGTGTGCACAGAGGCTGCTTCCAAGGCAGGGGGACCATAGCGGTTTGCAATTCATGGATAGAAGCAACTCCGTGGGGAGAACTCGGTGAAGCTCCTCCTTGACCTGTAGGAACCTTGTTCTGTCTCTGCCTGCTTTGTCGTTGATTCTTCACTTCACCACTTAGCACAGTCTGTGGGTTCGGCCCCTTTAGTTACTCCATCTCTCCTGTGTCCTGGCCTGTGACTTGCTCCGCCTTTATTATCTGGCTCTGTGCCTCCTGTCAGGCCTCACTCTGGATCACAGACCTCTTCAGCTTGGCCCGCCTTTGATGGCTGCAATGGTGAGACTTCCCAAACCACAGGCTCCCAGATTCCAGGCATTATATCCTTACAAAGCCCTGTCAAATTGACCTGTCCTCTTGTGTGTCACCACTTTACCTCTTGTGACCAAGGACCCTGCCACCTTTTTGATCCCAGCCTTGTTGCTGGGTGGTCCTTGCAGCTATTCTTATTCAGATGTGTTGGATATCCTAATCCTGGAGAAATCAAATACGACCTGTATCAGCACTTTTCTCTTCTCTATAATTAAATAGAAAATTCTGATATCGATGGGGCAGGAGCCCTTAAAAATCCTAAATTAAACTCTCTCAGTTTGACTTATCTGCATCATAACTTATGGTGGAAAGCATGACATATGTTTCTGTGTAAGTACTTTAGTCATTCTATGGGTGTCTTTAAACTCCTTGTCCTTCCCTCATTATCAGAAAGTTGAGGTTTGCATGGCATGTATCCCCCGTAAGGCATTGACATTCCATTCCCCATCCCAAGCAAATTCTCCTTTTTCTGAAGCCAAGAGTTTCCTCCAAAGTAAACTTGCTAGTTATAGGATTTACAACACTGGGAAGGGACTTAGAATAGTAGCATATTTATTCTGGAAGAAATTCTTTTAGAGATTGTCAAGTCCAACCCCTTAGTGATGCAGTTGGCAAAACTGCTTATGCCAAGAAAGGAATTTACATTAAGCTGGTCTCTTTCCCTTGTCAATAACCTCTACTGCCCAGAAACCTCAAGGTCTGCCACACATGAACATATTGAGACGCGATTCCTTATACAATAACTCTGGTGCTATGTTTACCTTCTCTGTATTCTTTGGTCAAGCAATCTCCTTCTCAACAATATCCTGGATTTCCACAAGTGGCTGATGACTTCCAAATTTATTTATCCAGCTCTGACCTCCCCATCCAACTCTGGCTCTCTACTAGACAGCCTCATCCAGATGTTCAATGGACGCTCCAAACTAACATGGTCAAAGCTATTCTCTGTTCCCCAGCACTTTCCACCAGTGCTCCCCATCCCACCCAGCCCCTCACACTTGGACTTCTTTTCCCATTCTCTGTCTTTGGCTTATGAGATTACCACCCACATTGTGCCTGAGCTAGAAATGTGGAAACCCCTGCTTCTGCTTTATTCCTTACACCTGATGTTTCCTGTATGAAATCTGACCCTCCTTAGCTGCTGTCTCTAAAGGGACTGTAAATGTGGCTTCCAGCTGCCTCCAGCCTCACCTGCAGCACTGAAGGTTTGTCTTTGAACAACCCCTGGGGAGTCTATCTAAAGTGCAAAGCCAGGCACCCTTGCTCGAAATCCTTCAGTCCTTCTCTACCAAATGAGTATGCAACCCTTGTCTTTCAGTCAGGCCTGGTTGTCAGATGCTTCTATCTTCCCCACTCTCACTCTAGTTAGAGGTACCTTCCTGCCTTGGCAATCACTGTTCTCGGCCTAGACACTTCCACTTCCATTTCCTCCTTGTGCCCCCCAAATTCATCCCTAAAAAAACTCCGCTGGACACCACTATTCTTCCTGACCATCTTTCTGACTTTTATTTCTAAAAATGTTGATGCTCAAATTTGTCCTTGTATCACATTGTATAATGTGTATAATGAGAGAAGGGACTCCAGGACCTTTGGAGAAGCCACGTCTCGCCACCCAGTAGTCTTAGTGGAGGCTCCATTGGCACAGCCACCATGGCTGTGAGGCAGTACATGGTAGACCAGAAGTCTCTGCCACTGGAAGGCTGCCCATCCCCCAGGGTGTGATTCATCATGAGTGTCAACAGGTGGTGACCACATACCCCACACCCCCATTGCTAACACCCTCTACCAGAATAAAAGCTTCTAGAACCTTGGCCTGCTTCTTGGAAGAGCTGGGCAATTTTGCACTAGGAGGCACTCCATTTACAATTGTGTTTCCATACATTTAATGGAAAAACAGAAACATTTAAAATTTGGGGGAATCGTGATGATGTGTTTGAGCAAAACATGCCCACAGATGCTGAAAAAAAAATCCTAAGTGTCTTGTTAAAATCATACCAAACTCCTTAGGTATTGACTGTCAGGGGCAGTGGATATTTAATTGT